TTGTGCACGCAGGTCTGAGGCAGTTATAATTACAGTAATTGTCCCGTGTTTCAGGTGCCCCTCTTTCTGGGAAGCTCAAAGCACTCTGTGAGCATTATCCAATTAATTCTGGAAATAGCCGGTGAGAGAGGTGGGGGACAGGCCTGTTGTGCACATTTACGGCAGGGGAACTATAGCACCGAGAGGTTAAGTGACTTGCTTAAGGTCCCAGAGTTGGGAACTGAACCCCGCTCAGTGTGCAGTGGATCAGTGTCGTCACAAAAGCCTTTACTCTGCTGCTGCAGCTCCGAATGGCAGGTAAAAAGGCCGGGTTCTCGTACAAGTGGCAGAAATTTCCACTGGCGCCTCCAGGTCACAGTTTCCCCCTGCAACCCAGAGGCGTGGCCCCCCACTGATGGCTGAGCCTCCCTCCCTCCTGGGCCGGCTTCCTGCGGACAGTTCTGCAAAAAGTAAAAGTTCCTGTAGATAACAAGTGGTGGTGACCGGGAGAACTGACCAAGCCAGATACATTTGATGGGTTGCAGAACAAATTAACTATGAAGAATAACCTCCTTTTCTGAGAAACAATCAACAGAGTAATAATTGTTTAAGTAGCTCTCCTGATGATGTGGCTTTATGAGCTAGCCTCGGCTGAATTATAAACACCCCAACCCCCTTGGCAGACAGGCAGTAGGAACCCCAGAAGTGGCCATGACCCCAGCTGTCACGAAGGGAAACAGCTTGTGGGAACCCCAGTGCAGGCTGGGAACTTGATTGGGTGTGGATGGGAGGCCCTGTTGATGATTTGTGGGACCTCAGTGTACATAGTTTGAGAGTTAAATCTCTTTCGTGTGAGCTGAGGATGAAATGGGCAGATGCAGTGCCGGTCCATGCCTGCAGGGGACCCCACTGGGACATGAGGGTAGATGGTCGCCACGTGAAGAACTTTGGATTTTCAATGGAATAAATAAAATGTAAAGTCTCATGTACTTGGGGGGAAAAAAAAGGTCCCAGGTGTGTATGGATATGGGCTTTGCTGGAAAGTTCTCTCCACCTATGGGCAGAGCATGTGGATGTTCAATCCATGATGGAGACACAGGATCCACAAAAGCTGGGGGTGGCTTCCACATCATAGCCCCAGAGCAGGAGCTTCCTTGGCAAATGCTGTCATCAGCCAGGAGAAGGAAAGAACCAGCCCATGGGGTGTATCCAAACTCACTCACTCATCAAAAAATATGAGTACCAGGCTCTGGGGAGATGCCAGTCAGTCAAAATGGAATCACAAAAAACGAACAAAAGCCCAGGTCCCTGCCCTCCTAGGGCTCACTGTCTCAGGCGGACCTAGACATTAATTTTTAAGAACCACACAGGTAAATGTAATATTTATGTGGTGATTTCCAGAAGGAGAGAGGCCTAGGAAAATGTGAACGAATATTGGCGGCGGGGTGGGATGGGCAGGGACTGGTGGTAGAGGAAGACTCCTCCAGGGAGGGGTACTTAGGGGAGCCCTGGAGGTGCTGCTTGTCACGGGGTGTGTGTGTGGAAGGAGCAGATGTCCTGGGCCTCGGGAATAGGGAGGCAGCTTCCTGGTGGGAAAGGACAGGAAGAAAGAATGAGCAAGGGGTGAGGGGTCTTGGTGATGCATGAATGTCTGACACGAATCCAGTCTCCCATATACCTTTTTTTTTTTGGTCATATGAATCACTGTCTTAGTCAGCTCAGGCGGCCATAGTGAATACTATAGACCGGGGGGCTTAAACAACAGACATGTTTTTCTCACAGTTCTGGAGGCTGGGAAGCCCAAGATCAAGGTGCCGGCAGATGTGAGCGCCTTTTTCCTGGTTTGCAGACTTCTATCTGTATCCTCACCGGGCTGGGGAGAGAGGCTCCACCCTCACGACCTAACCTCCTCCCACAGGCCCCACCTCCAAATACCATCAACCTGAGGAGGAGACCTCAAGGGACCATGGCAATCACTGAGATTCAAGTCTGGTTAAGCTTTCCTTATGGGCACGTGTGGAGGACAGTGTGAAAAAGCTGAATGGGGCTGAGTCCAAGAGACAGCGAACCCCAAACGCATGTCCCTTCTCACTGGTCCCTGAAGGTTAAAGCTGTGCCCCAGGTTAGAGCCGTGGGGCCCCGGGGCTCCCACCCCGAGAACTGTAGTGTCCACCCAGAGCTCCAGGTCTCTTGGCTTAAGGCCCAGGGTCCAAGGGATAAGCGGGGGCACTGGCGTGGAGGAAGCGCCCATTAACGCGACTGTAGCATCTCTCCCTCACGGCCTCCCAATGACCATTCTTCCACCTTGACTGTGGCTGCTGGCTGGGCGTCTTTGGGTATTTGCCCAGGCCTGTCCCAGCCACAGGGGGGAGACGGAAGTCCCGGGAGGGCTGTCAAGGCCCTGCTGCTGAGTGTGGCCCCTGAGAAGTCAGCCAGTGGGCTGTGGGGACCCCAAATGTCCAGTGGTGATGTTGGAGGGAGTCCCCACTCTCTCTCTTTCTCTCTGTTCCTCTCTCTCTCTCAGTTGCGCGTGGCGTGCACACACACGCGCACACACACACCTCATACTCCAGTAGAGTGCACACTGCTCGGCTCACTCATTTCGTGGGCCCCCAGTAACATGGTGAGATGGACAGAGTTTGCCTTTCTTGGGCTCCATTACCCTGTTATCAGTGGACCCCTCAGTTTCCCCATCTTTAGGAGGGGGCAGCGGGCCTGAATGCTCAGCCCCACCTCTGAAGGCCCAGGATTCTGGCCAGCTCTGTCTCCCTGGTAGGAGGCCTTTGGAGCTTCAGGAAGGGAAGCAGAGCTATTTAAATAGCCCTCAAGGGCCGTGGCCGGGCTCCTCCCTCCCGCCCTATGATTATACAATAGATTTAAAGTCTCTGATATCCACAAATCTACATCAAAATATATTCTCTAGCCATAGGGAACGTCTCAGAATTGTTAACCTTCTCCCCAGGTATTAGAGGTAACACACTGTGAGATTAGACGTATATTTTCTTCAAGATACACCACCCATTGAGGGGTTCATATTTACATCTTTTGTTGATATTTTTTATAGATTAAAAGCGCCTCTTTGCTAGGTGATAATTCTGCTAAGTACTGTAATTTGCTGCCATTAATATTTGTCTGAGTCCTAGTTTGCAAAATATATTTGAAACCACGTTAGAAAGTCGCATAATTGCTTCTCTGCGAGCTGGGGAAATGAGTAGTTTCTTTACCCAGCCTTTATCCTGTTAACCTCGGAGGGGAGGGGTGTTCACCAGAGTCCTGGGAATGGCGGAGCACCATTAGCCATGGGATTCCAGAGGCTGTGGGGGCGAGGACAAGCCTGGCTGGACCAGCTCCTTGTGGCTTCTGGGCTGGGCTGTGTGCTGGAGGCCTGGCCCTGCCCTCTCCCTGGACCACGGTGGGAGGCGAGTTCCACGGAGGATGCTCTATCCCTACCTGGGCTTTATGCCTGGCGGATGGGGCCCAAGGCAAGAGACCTGCTCCTCCTGGGCCTCCCTCAGGGGAATCGCTTTCCCCATCGACCTGACTCTCCAAGGGAGCCTGTGAAAGGCTCCTGCCTAGGGATCAAGTGACTGTGCCCACCACTTAGTGGGTGCTCAGCAAACATTCAGGGGATGTGAATGACGCAGCTGGTGGCACAGCCAGGCCTGAGTCTCCTGGAAAGTAGGGCTGAGTGGGCCAGGCAGCACAGGGCTGGGTGAGAAGTGCCAGGCAGGGGCTCTCCGTCAGCACCAGGGACAGGGGACCCCAAGGCACAGGGCAGGGAACCCAAGGTGACCTCAGCCTCCCTTGCTTTCTCCTCTTCTCCCCACAGCACACAAGCCCCCTCTCTAGGCCTTCTGCCCCTGGAATGGAGGCAGCCCCAGGCCCTTGCGGGCAGGTGGGCATGATGTCTGGGTGTCAGGTTGAGGGCTTGTACTATTGGCCACAGCCTTGCCCCTGTTAGAGGCAACTGGCTGCCAGAGGCTGCGCCACACAGGCTGGGCATCCACAAATGCCTGGGTTCCGCAGTAGTTCTCCAGGGTCTGGTCTGCACTCCAGGGCAGTGAGCAGCTCAGACATCTCTAATCAAAAAGGCATTTTGCCTCCTGTTGAGCTGTAATGTTCCCTCTCTATCTTCTCCAGCAGCTGCTCCCAGGTGTGAGCTAGGCCCTCCCGGAGCTGGACTGCAGTCTAGTCCCTGTAGCAGCTGGCAGGAGCCTCGCAGCCAGGCTGGGTTTACTCAGGAGGAAAATGGGGACAACAATGACCCCGATCTCACAAGGGTTTGCTGTGAAAGGAGCGAAGACATGGAGGGCATTTGGAATGGCCCCTTGTGATCGTAGCACTTGGTAAAGGTTGTCTGATAATATTATTTGTATATGTGTGTAAGCAGGACATGTGTATCTGTGTGCGCAGATGTGTGCACACTAGCCTATGTGAGCGGGTGTGTGTGTGCTCAGGACGCGCACTCCGATGGGGGAGTGCGTGTCTGTGTGCGGAGGGCTTGCCTGTGTCTCTGTGTGTGCTCGGTCCAGGCCCCGCCACTCCTCCCAGGATGCCCAGCGACATGCCCTTCTAACTCCTCCCTCTCCCACTCCCTGTGTCCTGCTGTCCCGTCTGATCTTGTTGCCCTCCTGCCTTCAGCCCTTCAGCACCATCCTGCCCTCAGCTCCTTGTCCAGCCTGCACATGGCCTGGTCCCTCTCGACCTCTCCAGCCTCTGCCATGCCCACTCTCCAGTCCCCTCTCACTGTGCCTCCGGCCACCTGCAGTTGTGTTCAGGCCTTCACATCTGCCGTTCTCTCCGCCTGGAGCCCTCTCTCTGCCTTTTAGCTTGGCTCACTTCCACTAATGCATTGGCCTAACTGAGATGGCACCTCCTCCTGACCCTCCTCAATCTCCCAGGACCCCCACTACCTCCACGCTGCACTCACCGCCTAGCTGCCTGCTCATCTGTCTGTCCACAGGGGCACGTCGGAGGTCAGGAGCCATGGCAGTGGTGCTAACTCCCACCGTCTCGGGCTGAGCCCACGGTTGTCCACGCCGTGGTCCTGTCCTCTGTGACTGCTGAGGGTCTTGGACACTCCATTCCATCACCAACGTTGGGGAGGTTGTGTGGGCCAACACCAGGCCGTCGGGTGTCTTTCCAGGCTCCAGCACAGTGTGCGGGGGGTCTGGGAAGCAGAATGAGTGAGTGAATTCACTTGGGCAGCTGGCTCGGGCCTGCTGGGCTGCCCGACTCAGGACAGGCTGGAGAGGGCATCCAGCACAAGACAGGCCACCAGGCACAGCCTGGCCGGGCGGACTCGTGCAGGGTCCAGCCCCTCTGAGCAGGGACCACAGTGGCCTACTAAGATGCTTCCCTGTGTCCCCATCCAACAGCAGCCCTCCCCACCCCAACCCTGTACTTTCTGCTTACTGAGTGCTTCCCTCTTCACACTTGACCGCCAGTTCCTCTTCAGTCTCCTTGCAAGCTGGGCACTGCAGAGGGGAGCCCCACTTGGCTGAAAAAGAATTTAAGGCTCAGAGAGGAGGAGTGAGTGACCCAGAGTCACAGGGCTCATTGGCCAAGGTCCTCTGAGCCCGAGTCTTTTGATCCTCGTCCTTGGAAACATGCACCACACAGGGTGGTGTGGCACTGAGGTCTGAAGAAACAAGCTCAGAGCCGGATGAAGCAGGGTGGGTGGGTGGGGAGACTGTCCTATAGGCCTCATGCAGCAAATCCCGACACAGACCGAGCTTCCTCGAGGCCCTCCTCTGTGCACACCTGCTGTCCCTGTTCCACACGGGGCACAGACTGGCCTCTGCATGCTGGCCTGAGGGAGGGCTGCCCTGGATCCTGGTCCTGGAGGCACAGTGCGGATGACCTTATGAAAGCCCGCCCTGAATCTCGTGGGGATCAGGGGACAGGGGCACCTGCTCTGAGGAGGAAGGCCTTTAGCAAATCCCTCACCATCAGGTAAACGAGCAGGAGTCTCCAGCTCGGGCTCAGGCACCTGGTGCATAAGCTGCATGCACCTCGGTAGGCCTGGGCGAAGGTGCATCGGGTACTGAGCCGGGTTCCCGGCTGCAGAACAGCCTCAGTCCCAGCACCTGCCTCCCAGGTGTGGTGAGCGTTAGAGGACAGGTGCACGCAGAGTGCTGTCTGGGTGTGGGCTTCCGCAGAAACAAACCCTGAGGAAGGATCTGAGTGCCAGTGGTTTCCTTGGCAGGAAGCATGGAGAGAGTAGGGCAGTAAGGCCGGGAGGGGAAGCCGGGGTTGGTGCGTCTGGGAACTGCTTCCCTGAGGGTGACTGGGCTCAGGTCTGTGGTGATTTCCGGCTGTCCTCTCCCTCGCTGGCTGAGGGCTGCTCCCGCCCTGTGAACCCTGGGCACTTGGGGACCGTTCCACGTGTCTGTCCAGCGACAGTCCTCAGCACGGGGTCACAGGCACTGGTGGGAGGAAGCCAGGATGCCATGGGCCCGGGCAGGGGGCAGAGGGAATATGGGTGGGCAGTGTGTCAACAGTCTAGAAACATGCCTGGCAACACTTATGTGCTTAATAAAGGCTAGCCATTATTATTTCGAATTGGAAGGGCCTCCAGAAATTGTTGTGTCAGACTTCTGTTTTCTTCCTAGAGGAAAAGTGACCTCCCAAGAGGAGGCCTCATCCAGGGTCCATCACAGGCCCCGTGGCGGGTCTGGTCCTGCACTGGGCCGCTGTTTCCCCCCAGGGGTGTCCGTGGGTGTTTGCTGTTTAGCAGAGGTTTCCAGAACGGTCCCTCTGCCCTGGGCACTCTCCACGTCTTATCCTGTCAAATCCTCAGGACACCGTGTGTGATGGGAATTACGGTCCCCGTTTCACAGATGAGAAGGCCGAGGCCCGGGAAGGGAAAATGGATGGCCAAGGCCACACGTGCTCGTAAGCAGCAAAGCTGGGGTTTGAGCCCAGCCGCAGGCTCTGAACTGCAGCACACATGGCCCTCAGCGAGCATCGAGGAGACAGGGGGCACGCTCTGTGGAATCAGGAGCTCAGTTGCAGAGACAGACACATTTTGTTGAGGGGAACGAAGGTTTTGGCCAAACCCAAGCCTCGCAGCTGTTGGAAAAGCCCGAGGCGGGAACTGACCCAGCTTCCAGGGAAGCCAGGGCTCAGAGCAAGCTCAATGGACGGGGGGTGCGGCCCCCAGAGGGTGGGAACCGGCCAGGGAGGGAGGCTGAGGGGCAGCGGGGGCTGAGGACAGGGACTCCTGGAGTGAGCACAAGGTGCCCACGGGCGGGGCACGCCTGCTGCCCACCCGCCTGCCTGCCACTCGCAGAGCCACACGCGGGAGACCCCCTCCCCCACCGGGGACAAGTGTTTGGGCACAGATTTGCTCAGTGACCCCTGGAGGGGAGAGACAGTCACCCCCACTTCCTTCAGGTCGGAGTCTCCGGACTGTAGCTGTTGGGGAGACCGCATCGCCGTTACTGGGGCCCCTTCCTCTCTGGGCACTCGCCCGACACAGAGTCAGTGCTGCAGGCGCTGGAAAGCCAGGGGCCTGTAGGCCCAAGCTGTTGACTTTGTTCCTGTGGCCGCTTGGCTCAGTGGTGTCCGTTCTCAGGCCCGGGGAAGTTAGGCTTCCATCTCCCGGGGCGGGCCCGGTAGGCTGTGTCTGTCCGCATTCGCGGCTCCCAGCACTGCACCATCCCCTCTCCGCACCCCCTGGAGGTCTCAGCTTGTCCCCTTTGGTGGGTCTGAAACACCAGAGCTGGAGGGTTGGGGGTGGTGATGGACTTCAGATGCCCCGAGGCGCCTTGCCTTTCCAGTGTGGGGACGGGAAAAGAGATGCTCTGGTCTTCCCTGAGCAGACCCAACAGAACCCTCCAGACCCCCAAACAAACGTAACAAAAATCCAGTGTGCCACTTACCTTCTTTCTCAGCACTTGATTCTGACACATGACTTCTCTCACACCGTGGGGAGAGAAGCCCAGGCCCAGTGAGGAGCGCTTCTGCTAGAACAGTGAAAATCGGGGGACGCCTCAGATGAATCCGCTCTCTGGGGCCACAGCGGCTTCTTAGGAACCTTAAATCCGGGCCCCAAGGCGGTCAGGGTGGTCAGCATTCCTTCCTGGCAGGTCCTGCCCTCCCAGCTTGTGGCTGGACGGGAGGTGAGATGACCCCAGGGGAGGCCCCAGAGACCTGCAGGAGCAGAACATCCCTCCCCAGGGGCAGCCTGCCCTCCCAGCCTGGGCATGCCAAGGAGGGGCCGGGACCCTCAGGGCCGCGAGCCGCCTTGGCCTGCCCCAAACGGCGCTCTGTATGCTGCCTGCCCCTGCCCCAGCGTCAGGGCCACAGTTCGGCTTTGTCCCTTTTGTCCCTCAGTTAATTATCTGCAACCAGGAGGTTATCGCGTGTGCCCTGCCCACCGACTGCTGGGCCACCTCACGCGGACATCTCAGTACTTCCCAGCTCTCGTGTCCATTCTCTGCCGCTGGGTGTCAGAGCCCCCGGACCGATTGTCTTCTCACGGTTGCCCATTATTAGGCTCCTGCAGCCCAGCCTTCGTCATTCCATGCTCGTGCCTTACCCCCGTGTCATGCTGCCACCTCTGCTGATCTCGATGTGCACAAATCCCATAGGCTTTTCTGCCCTCATCTCAGTTGACCTCTTAGCAATGTGCAGTGAGTGTGTCTCCTGTTTGAAATACGTGCCTTTCTTGGCCTACATGACCCACAGGTGTGTTTCCTTCTGTCTTTCTGCCCAGTGGTTCTCAGGTGGCTCCTATTCCTCTCCTCCACATGCTGGGTTTGGCAGGTTTATTCCTTGGCCTTCTTCCCCTGCCCTCTTCCTCCCTGGGTGATCCTTCCTAATCCCACAACTTGAAAGCTGACCTTGCCGCTTGGCTGGTGCCGTGTAGCGAGCACAGGTGAGCCAGCGTCAGACCGCAGTGGGCATGCGTTTCTCGTCGGTGCCTCTGTGGTTGGCTGGGGTAGCTCCGCTCCATGTGCCTCGTCCTGGGGCCCAGCTACACAGGCGTGATCTTCTCGTGGCAAATGGCGACGTTCAAGTCAGCGAGACCAAGTGCGCACAAACACTTCAAGCTTCCCTTCCACTGTGTCTGCTCCCGCCCGGCTGGTGAACTTTGGCTCGACCTCAAGGTCGGGGACCAGGAAGTGTGCTTGACCCAGAGTGAGCTGTGATGAAGACGTAGACGAACGATTCTATCACGGTAGAGTGGGGAATTGGGACCAATAATTCAATCCACCCTAGCACAGCTGTGCTGACAACTCCCAGATGTGTCTCCAGGCCAGTCCTCCCGTTTGACTCACATTCCATGCCCCTTGACTTTCCCACTTGACTCTCCAGACAGCTGCAGAGGACTATTGCTCAGAGCATCTATGCCCTCTCTCTGACTGTTTCCCTGCCTGTGAAATGAGCAGGTTGATTCGCACGATCTAGTTATGAGAGCAGGTCTGGGGGCTGAGCTCTCGCATCACCCTTGACCTTCTTCAGGATTTGTTCCCCCTCTGGATTCAGGTGATGGTGAAGAACTGGATGCGTAGCCAATGACCAATTCTGGAGGATACTAGAACCTTCTGTTGACCCCTTCCTATGTCTGTGCTTCTGGCTCTCACTGAGCTCTCTTGGACCCTGTGGAGGTCAGCTGGGCCATGCAGGATGAGTGTATGAGGACCGACTGGGCTGCGGGGAGAAGGAAGGACCCCCACAGTGGCCAAGAACTGGTCCCCAAGCCAAGCTCTGAATTCAGAGAGGCAGGACTGACGTGCGGTCCCACGGTTCTGTTGCTACCAAGATGGAGAATTCTTCTGTGGCCACTCTCATGCAGACAGGTGTGGCTCGGTGACCTCATGTCCCAGGCAGGCTGCCCTCCAGGCTGAAGCAACCTTCCTGAGCCCTTAGCACCCCAAACAAAAGCTGCATCTGACTCCTCAGCCTTTGTGCACATCTGCGTTATTAGCAATGCTAATACCATTCTGCAATGATAAATAATTAAACAATTATGGTCATGAATCAATAAGTTTAGCACATTTTTTTCATCAGCAAATTGTACTGTATAAACAAGAAATATAAATTACCAAGTCTAATTTCCCCCTAAAATTATAAGCATTTTATATCTAATAATTAAAAAAGTATTAGAATTCAATGTAGGATAGTTAGATCTTTAAAGAATTTTCAGTTT